GTCGTCGAGCACCGCGCCGTCGCCGCAGCCGCCGGAGCCGACGCCGCCGCTGTCCGCGGCCCCCTCGGCGCACTACGAGCTATCGTCGTCGGCGCGCCTGACCCGCGCCCACCATGGCCTCCGCCGGCGCGCTGGACGCGGCGCTCGCCGCGCTCCACGCGCCCGTCGAGGCGCGCGCGGCGCAGGAGGAGGCGGCCGACGGCGCGCTCGTCTATAGCGTGTGCCCGGAGCAGCTCGTCAAGGACATCGAGCAGAGCATCGTCGTCGAGAAGCCCGAGGCGGCGACGATCCAGGCGCGGCTCTTCGCCTGCGCGCGGCCGCGCGACGTCTGCGCCTTCCTCGAGGCCACGCAGTCCGACGCGTCCGTCGAGCGCGCGCGCACGGCGCTCCTCAAGCTCCTCGCCGCGGCGATCCGCGACCACGGCTGCGGCCGCTACGGCGCGCGCGCCTTCGCGACCCTCAAGGCCGTCCTCGAGGCGCCGAACGGCGCCGCCGTGCGCGCGCACGCCGCCGCGGCGCTCCGCGCGCTCGCGAAGCGAGGGGAAGGACCCGGCGACGAGGCCTGGCGCGTCCTCTGCGACGCGCGCTTCAAGGAGCTGCGCCAGGCCAAGAAGTCGGCCCCCGGCGCCAAGGACACGGGCCGCACCTGCGCGGCGGAGCTCGTGAAGCTCGTCGCGCGCTGCGTCGCGGACCGCGTCGACGCGTCGCCGGAGCTCGACCCGGCCTCCATGGACCCCGTCGCGCCGTGGCGGGAGCTCGGCGCGAAGGTCCTCGCGCTCGCCATAGCCCAGCTCGAAAAGTCCAAAAGCGACCGGCGCGTCGACGCCGCCGCGTGCTTCGCCGCCGCGGACCGCCTCGCGACGACGCGCGCGTTCCGGGAACGCGCGGCGTCCGCGGGCGGTTTGGCGGCGAAAGCTTTGGCGGATTATGCGACCGACGCCTCCGCGAAGCAGTTCGCGGACCCCGCGAAGGCGCTCCGGCTGCTGCGGCGCCGCGCGGCCGTCGTCGCGCCGTCGGCGCGCGGGTCGGGCGCGGCCGCGCTCTTCGATTTGCTCTGGCGCGTGGCCACGGTGCACCCGTCGGCGTCGTCGAAGACGCCGCCGCCGGAGAAGGTCGCCAAGCACGCGGCCGCCGCGCTCGAGGCCGTCCTCGTCGCCCTCGCGGCGGACGCCGGCGAGGACTGGGCGCCCGTCGTCGCGGCCCTGGAAACGTCCGCGGCCGGCGCGGCGCGCGCGTTGGGCCCCGGCGGCTGGCGCGACACCGCGGACGCGACGAAGGGCGCGGGCCTCGCGCTCCGCTGCGTCGCCGCCCTCGCGCCGGCTTTGGCCGGCGACGACGCGGCGCGGCTCCTCGCCGCGGCGCTCCTCTGTGTGGAAATCAAATCTTCAACCCGACTTCAATGTGAGCGTATGCGACGGTTTCTACGCGAGCTCTTTTTCTATGCTTCGAGAA